CTAAGACCGGCCGGATTGCGCATCATCAATTGGCGCCGTCTGTGGGAACGCTTCAAAAAGCCTCCCTCCAAATTCTCATACCCCCTTTTTTCCTTCAAAAAACCCAACACTCATGGCCTCTTCCAACAACGCCGGACGCGGCACAGAGACAAACACCACCGGGGAACAGCTTCAAGTTCCCGTGGTGTGCGTTGGACAGTTCACCATCACCCTTTCGGTGGATGGAATCCACAGTTTGAACACGCCACAAGCGGTGGCGCCCGTAAACCTTCCTGTCACAAGCCCTTCCCTCCCCCTATTGAGACAACCTTCACTAACCGACTGCCGCCCCCCTGGCAGCCAGCCAAAACCGGTTGGACGACCTGATGCAGTGCATGCRGGCAATGCAAGCCCAAATGCAACAGTTCCAACAACACCAGCTTCACCAGCACCAAGTGCTGCACATCTCCCAATACCATTATCAACAGCAGTTCCCCCAACTGCCACTGAACCAATCAGTACTTCCACCTTGCCACCCTGCTCCGAGACCGGTCAAGGCCTCCCCACAGGATGGGCGCCCCCACAAAGGAAAGGCCTCCGGGCCCCAGAACCCCCCTAACAGCCAGGCCTTGTCCCCTGGCCGAAGAGAGAAAAAAGTCATCCCCGCTTCGCAGCTCGCAGGCGGGTCGGGAACCTCGCCCGCGAGGTCGGCACCTCGGCGCTCCAAGCCCGAGTTCCCCCTTACGGAAAACCGATTCGGCGCACTGGAAGCAGTAGACTATCAGCATTCCGGGCCCATCGAGCTCGGCAACACGGAGGCCAGCAGCGCCAGTACAAGGCCCACTCAACAGCGGAGGCACCGGCGAAGTCGCCGAACCGCCACCCATGTCCTGTCAGAGCTCAGAGGCAAAGAAGAAACGAGCTCGGACGAGATAGGAGTTGCCCCGATTCTCTCAGTTCCTTCCCCCCTCGCATCAGAACTCTTAGCGGTCCCCTTGCCCAAAGATTTCAAGCTCCCACCTCTGGACAAGTATGACGGGTCCTTCGACCCCAACGACCACATTGACGCCTTCCAATCCCAAATGCACCTCGCCAGAGCTAGCGAATCGTGCATGTGCGTGGCCTTCACCACCACCCTCAAGGGGGTAGCCCGCACTTGGTAGAGGAACCTGGCCCCCGGGTCGATAAAGTGCTGGGCTCAGTTCGTGCAGGTCTTCACCGCACACTTTGTCACCAGCAAACGATGCCCCAGAGTAGAGGAAAAAATCTTCGGAGTAGTCCAAAGGGAAGGAGAATCCATACGGGGCTACATCAAGCGATTCAACGAAGCATGCTTGCAGATACCGTGGTTAGACCCCGCGGTGCAGCTCGCGGCGGCAAAAAGAGGGGTAACGCACAAAGAATTCAAATGGCACATGGTAGCTAACTAGCCTACAACTGTGGCCGAATTCCTCAAGCTYGCGGACAAGTTCATGAGGACGGAGGAAGAAATCAACCAACGAACCGAGGGCAGAAACGAGAAAAGAAAGAGGGA